AGTGCCCTGCACATCCAGTGCGGGTCAGGTGGGCCTTGAAAGGGGGGGGCGGGAGAGGCGCATGCCATGGCCATGTAAAAATAAATGCAAAAAAAAATGTGAACATAGGAAACATCAGCCCGAGGCAACAGGAGAGAACCTAAGATCACCGGGGGAGTGCCGCCTGCAGGGGAACAGGAGACACGCGCGGCCTGGAACGCGGGAACGTCCGCAGCTCCAACACGACCGTCGCGTCCTGGCGGCAGGAGAGCTCACCCCCCCCATTAAAACAATCTCAGCGGAGCACAATGCCCGGCTGTCTTTACGCCTAACAGCGAATGAAGGCCTTCAAAACCCAGCCACACTTTCCAGTCGCCACAAAATATCCCCTCCGGCTGGGAGAAGCCTTACTCTGCAATTTAACACATGTCCTTCTGCCAATTAAAAAAAAAAGAGAGAGAGAGAGGCTTCGGTCCAGGTTAAGCGATCCTGTCCTGTAAAAGGCCTGCTCCACTGACAGGCTCACCCTAGCACCTACTGGGACACCTAATCCTCTTGACCACAGGCAGGTAAAACGTGTCTCAGGCTAATGGCAAGTAAAAATGTACTTAACGGTCTTTTTTTGTACTTAACATTCTTGAAATAAGACCCTATTGATGTGTCCGGATGATCTGGTATTAACGATTGCCAGGAACTTATCTTAAAAAGAGGGGGCTACATGCCCTGGCAGGCGCAGCTCAGTGGTTAGAGCGTCGGCTGGCGCGTAGAACGGACGTGGGTTCGATTCCCGGTCAAGGGCACACACCTGGGTTGTCGGTTTGATCCCCGGCCCCAGCTGGGGCCCATGCAGGAGGCAACCAATCAGTGCGTCTCTCTCACATCGATGTTTTTCNATCTTAAAAAGAGGGGGCTACATGCCCTGGCAGGCGCAGCTCAGTGGTTAGAGCGTCGGCTGGCGCGTAGAACGGACGTGGGTTCGATTCCCGGTCAAGGGCACACACCTGGGTTGTCGGTTTGATCCCCGGCCCCAGCTGGGGCCCATGCAGGAGGCAACCAATCAGTGCGTCTCTCTCACATTGATGTTTTTCTCTCTCTCTCCCCCCTTCCACTCTCTCTGAAAATCAATGGAAAAAATATCCTCGAGTGAAGATTAAAAAAAAAAAGAGAAAGAACTAGAAATGATTATTGAAAATTGCAATCACCCTACTAAGCACTGACCGTGTGTTGCGTTAAGGGCTTAACATGCACCGTCTCACATATTCCCCACATCAACTCCCGGAAATAAATACCATCCCATGACCCTCCTCTGCAGACGCTCAGAGAGGTGCCGTGACTTGCCTGCAACCACACAGCATCGCACAGCCGGGGCGGGGCCGCGTCCAGCCTGGATTGTCTGATTCCGAAACCTGGATGTTCTTTCCGCCGGAGCTTAACTGTTCCATTTGGTCACCAGTGGGCAGTTCACAAAGTATTTTCTTCTCCTGTGTCTCACAACCACCCCCAGATAAACCAACGCATAACACTAGCAGCTGAGCGAAAACTCCCACCGCCCATGAACGCCTGCAAAGCTTTGGTCGTCTGCGGTACACCTGCTCCCTCGGAAACGCCCTGCCCGGGACCAGGGCCACAGGAATTGCTAAGTGCGACCGCGGCCAGGTGAGCCGCCCGGCTATGTCAGGTATTCTGGCCTTCGAGTTGTTTCCTTGTTTTATTTAAAAGCACTACACCCTGAAAAACAGTGACTGCCGAGTTCTTAGCCTGAACTAGGTGGCCTCTTCAAGTGGAGTCAGCCAGTCCTCAGAACTTACAGAGATTACTCAGGTATGAATGTCACCTTGACTCAAAAACCAACCCAAACCAAGCCAAACCACCGACAACCCGCAATAAAAAAAACAGCTGCTATCGTAATTTGCCTTTCCCTTAAAATAATTATCTCCATTTCCTAGTGAGTGAGGCAGCAAGTGAGGCCCCTAACAGCCTCGGTCAGCAGAATTACTTGCCTTCCACAATCTTCCCTCCACTAACAGGCGGTTTATTTCTATTTAATCTTCCACCGATATAACTACAGCGCTCAGTTCTGACTGAAACAGGACAGTCACGTCTAGCCAAATAACTTGGGCTCCACGTCAGAATAACACACCTATCATTTTATTATTAACCGAGAAAGATGCCTGCTGGGCAGTCAACAAAAGGTCTCCTGGCAACGGAGAAGCAGAGAAAAAAGCACAGATTTTCTTTCTTCTGAGACTCTTCATTCAGTCGGGAAAGATGGATTTTGTCACTCAATTATCCTCCAGCATGGAAAGGGCCACATGGAGACCACAAACGGGGTAACACTGCATCTCGGGGAAACCTTCTCTGCGCCAAGTTACACGGCACTGAATACAAGGGGAGTCTTAGTGGAAAGACTGACACCATCTCACGACAGGGGCCTCTCTGTAGCTCGGGACAATGATCTGTTGAGGGTTTTCCAGGGATTCTGAATGTGCAGCCTCCAGACAAGACCCCTTTGAGGGGCTGGCCGGGCGCTGAACAATCCCTCCGCCCTCCCCGGAAAGAAAGCCAAGAGCCTCCCCACACAGGCCCGGCCCGGCCCGCGGGCGGGCGTGGGAAGGCGCAGGCTTCAGAGACAAAGGAGGAGGAGTGGGCGCCGGCGGGAGGGCTGGGACCCGCCCGGGCCCACCTGCCCGTCGGCGACCCCGACCCACGGGATGGGACTTGCAGAGAAAGAGCCGGGAGGAAGGGCGAGAAGGAAGCAGGCTGCAGAGGCACAGGGTGAAGTCGGCGACCGCGAGAGCCAACCATGCCGGGAGGGGGGTAACCCTGGGCCATCAGAGGGGGGGGCTGGCTGTCAGCCCCCCTTCCCCAGTTTATCTTCCCCCAAAAAACAGCTGGAGGAAATCTCCTTGGGGGGGGGGCAGAGACAACCCTGTAGGGCAGAGCACCCTCCACTGGAATTCCAGAATTCCCTTCTTTCAGGGGGGAGGGGGCGACTCTTACAGAGGCAGGGATCCTGCCACCACCCTGAGCCCCACCCACAGGCTGGCGAAAAGAGCCCCCCGGGGGTAACGCTGTTAGGGCCATTCCCAGACGAAGTCAAACCCCAGAGGGCCCCTGGGATACTGGGGATCCCTCAGATACACAGACCCCTCACATCTCATCCCAAACTCGGAGACCCCTGCCCAGCCCTAAAGCCCATCTCAGAACTACCTCCCAGACTCAGCTACAGACACAGCCCCCCAAAACTACCTCCCAGGCTCAGCTACAGACAAAGCCCCCCAAAACTACCTCCCTGACTCAGCTACAGACACAGCCCCCCAAAACTACCTCCCAAGCTCAGCTGTACAGACACAGCCCCCCAAAACTACCTCCCAGACTCAGCCATACAGACACAGCCCCTCAAAACTACCTCCCAGACTCAGCTGTACAGACACAGCCCCTCAAAACTACCTCCCAGACTCAGCTGTACAGACAAAGCCCCCCAAAACTACCTCCCTGACTCAGCTACAGACACAGCCCCCCAAAACTACCTCCCAGGCTCAGCTGTACAGACACAGCCCCTCAAAACTACCTCCCAGACTCAGCTGTACAGACACAGCCCCCCAAAACTACCTCCCTGACTCAGCTACAGACACAGCCCCCCAAAACTACCTCCCAGACTCAGCTACAGACACAGCCCCCCAAAACTACCTCCCTGACTCAGCTACAGACACAGCCCCCCAAAACTACCTCCCAGACTCAGCTACAGACCCTCAGCCCCCCACAACGACCTCCGAGACTCCGCCACAGTCAGCCCCTCAAACCCATCTCGAACCCGAAACATTCTCTCCTTAAGGCTCACCCCCAGCGAGTCCACTCGGCCCCTCAAAACCTATCCTCCGACCCCGTGCCTCCCTCTCCCTGTACCCCCAGCCTCCCCCTAAACCCCAACCTCTGCCCGGGCGTAACCCCCGGCGCCTCAGTCCGGCCTGTCACCCCTGATCCTCGACCCCCCGACTCCCC